TCAACCGCATTGCGCGCGGTCATAATTTTTTCTGAAAGAAAAATTGGATTAGCAGGGAGGGAATAAAGAAACAAGAGAACAAAATCTTTCGATCTTTTCTTCTTTTTTCTATCGAGCATTATTAAAGAAAATACTTTTCTAAAGCTAGGAATTGAGAGTTAGATGATGAAAGAATAAATTTAATTTATTTGAAATAAAAAATATAATTTATGAAAATAAAAATGTAATTTGTTTAATCTAATTTCATTATGATATTCTTAATAATTCATGTATTATGAGTTACTTAACAAATATAGATATATCAGTATAATTCAATGAAAAAAACATAAAAATGAATCTGTTTTTGATCAAATGTTACCACTTTTCCGATTAGTCATTGTCGAAAGTCGTTACGGCATCCATCTTGAAATTCCTTTTTTCCTCCTTGTGATATCCCAATAGTTAATCTGCACAAAAAATTTTTAGAATAGATATATAAAATATATGAAAATTAAAAGATTGTATTAAAACAAGGCAATAACTAATATAATTTGATAAATAAAATTGAATTAATTAATTTCTTCAAAGAATTATAATATTCAATAATAAATTATTGAATAAATATAGTAATAATAATGAGAAATAAAAAAATAATTGAAAAAATAACATATTACGTAATAAATTGGTCACATTGAGGGAAGAGAAGCGTTTAAACACTATAATTTTTGATAATCCATATAACAATTTCAATATATCATATAAATTAGACAGAAGGCGGGGGAGGGGGGGGGGGAGAGCAATTAAACAAGTCGAAACCTGTCGAAACCTGTCGAAACCTGATATGAACGCGAATTGAAATTTTCTCGAAAGATTGAATTATATTAAAAATGTTTTCAGCTTTGTAGGCTTAAAACATTTTTAAATTTTCAATAATATAATTCAATGAATAATTAAATAAAACTAATAACAATATAAGTAATATAATAGCTTTAATAAGAATAGAAATTGCGACGCAATATGTATTTACGTACCTCAAGGTGATGCGTCCTAGAGGATTTCGGAAAGACGAATAACACAACATATCACATAATTATTCACAAAACTATTTGATTTTCTTATCACAATGTACAATGAACACTTAAATAAACGAAATTAATAACAATATTAATAAAATAACTTAATAAGAATAAAAATTGCGACGTACGAACCGGCGACACGTCCTGTCCCAAGGATTTTCGAGAGACGAATGACGCAATGCACCACATGACTTCTTAGAAGCTTTCCTATTGGTTGGAGCACTCTCCCCCTTAACTACGTTTGCGCGGTAAATCTTTCTTCGAACGAAGAAGTACGAAATATTCCGAGTTACATATCACGTGACTAGCTAGCGGCTCGACTATTGGCCGAAACGATCTGCTCCTTCTAAGTTCGTCAGATAAATTTTCCCTCGAATAAAAAGCTACGAAATATTTATAATAGTTATTCGAACAAATTTTATAGTTACATTTAATTTTATTTTTAATTTAATCAGTAATATTATCATCTAATATTAGAAATAATTTTATATTTCTTGAGAATCTTTTAATCATATATAAGTGTTTCTTGAGCATATAAATTTTGCAGAACAAATATAAATAAAAAGAGCAAATAGAATATGAAAGACAAAGGATAAAAATGACTGCCATCTTTAAAATGTAGCAAATGAGATACGTAAAGAAAGGAGAAAATAATGAGGGGAAAAAAATAAAAAAAGGATATATGTAATTATTTTTTAAGTAAACCATCTTTTTAAAATTATGCAAAAAATGATATTGATATCAATTTTTACTCTATTTTTATTTTCTTTCTTTTCTTTATATATTTCATTTACAGCACTCTGAAGTTAGCGTTGATTTTAATATTTTTATCCTATCTTTATCCTTTTCTCACTATTAATTTTCCTTTTCTTTACTTATTCTTAGTGCGTGACCACAAATAAAATATGAGACATCAAATGAACTTTCGTCGTTTCTCTTTCAAAACTCTTTTAAAATGTGTCTTAAAGTAATTTAATATAAAATATGTACATTTTTGTATAGAACAACGACTTCATAAAATATAAATAAAATTTAATAAAAATATAAAATCAGAAAAGATCTACAAGATACCAACTTTCGACTGAAAAGTTTCAAGTTGAAGAGCATTGTTATATGTCTTCTAAAACTATCAACCAACCAATTTTCATTATGAAGTTCAGAATCGTATCGTAAAAATAATCTTCCGAATAATTCGTAGGATAATTATATCGATGGAATGCAAGGTATGAAATAGATTTTATTTGTGAATAATTCTTTTTTTAATTCTTTAACATTTTATAAAAAAAGAAATCAAATTTACAACTCAGTATTAGATTTTTTTATTAATTTAATTACATTTTAAAATATTTGTAACTTTTTTGTCAATTTTAAATAACAATTTATATATATATATATACACAGCATTCAAAATTCGATTTTAATCATAATTGAATATACTTATGTGTAATGATTCGTTACTAACGAATATTTAAAACAATATATAAACGAATAATAAACTATAATATGATTCCATAACATAAATAGCTACAACATAGATAAGTGTAGAAACATGTACACGCTTTAATTGCATGATAATTATATACCAAGAAGTATTAAGCATTAAGTTGCATATAAAAAATGCGTTTCTTAATACTACATATAACTCAATATACAAATCGTTTTAGAATCTTCTCTGTACAATAACTGACCCACATCGATTTGCGAACTTAGCACATACATTTCATATATATTTCGTACCACGTATCTTTTTCGAAGACAACACGATTCCATTTGAAAGGTATAACGGCAATCAGATTTTTCTAACGATTAACAATTTCTGTTTCTTCCTAGTAGATGGATCTAAAAAAATAACCTGTTTATCTACATAGAATTCAAATATCTTAAAGCCATTAAAAGTTTAATATAATTTTAACATTTAATTCGAAACGTTGAACATAAAATTGCTCTATATTTTAAGGATTCTCTAAACTACTTTTATTTAGGTTAAAACTATGTTAGGTTAAATCTAAAACGCGTTCGACAACCTTCATAAAATTCTTTATATGTATAATGTCTACATAAAAATAATTAATTTCAGGAAAAATTCAAAAGAATAATGGACAACGGAACAATGAATCGGGAAAATCGGTGAAAGTTCTCACGTAAGAGGATAGACTCGATTATCAGTGCCAGAAATAGGTAGAATGTGTCACGTCACGAGTTCGTGGATCGGTTCACTTTCCTACGACCGTATGCACGCTTCGTGACGGATCTTTATTCAATTCCTCGTTGATGTAACAGGGGCATTACCGACACGAGAAACCGGCCAGATAGGAAAAAGAGTGGAAATTTGATCGCATTGTTTTCATCTCCAAGAATGACGTGATAATGACAAATTAAAGAGTGCAGAAATCGTATCTTTCCATGCTGTGCCAAAGTAAACGACGATGATTTCCAAAGAAAATCCAGGTAAAAATCTCGCTTCTCATAATTGACTCGTTTTCTATATCAAAAATCTATGTCAATCTTGTTCATTTGTCTCTAACTTTCTTGTCTCTAACATTTTTAATTATTTCTAACATCATCAGCATTATATAAGTCGAACAGAAATCACTTTAATTCATTGATCATTTTAATCATCTGTTTATACAACGTGTCTCATTATTCATGATGATATCTTAATAATAATCAGGCAAAAAGTTCTTCATGAAAAAATAAAATATAAAGAATTTTTTTCATTTGAAGCTTCGTTTTCGAGTAAATAAAATTTGAAAAATTTTTAAGTACAAGTAAAATTTCAAGATTTATTTCTTTTTCTTTTCTAACTTCTAACTTTCTTTCGTAGCATTCCAAGCTAGTGAATTTACCGTTCCAAATATTCGAAGCTACCAGGAAGCACGAATAATATCACGTACCGAATCGTCGATCTCGATCGCGTACGTGACATTGAATAAGGGTAAGACTTAAAATTTTTACGCACACCCAATATATGCAATGTGTCCCAGTTCCTTGGTTCACTTCGAGCACGTGCAAACCAGTTTCGATGCAGTATGTCTTGTACAAATACTTTCTGCCGGCGTTTCTCAGTTAATGACACGCATAGACTTCCGATTTAATGTTGTCGTCCGTTCAACAACACAATGCTTGATCAGTGTTGATAAACGTTGACATATTAAACAACATATAGGATTATATTTAATTTTTAATTATTTAAATTTGTAACAATTTACAAATTATATTTCATATGGCTTATATCAAAGTATTTCAAAAGTGAATATTCTATTAATTATATTAATTTTTCGTAATCTATTCATCATCGACAATAAATTATTTATGATAAAAACAGCTTTAATTTTTATCATCTAAAAAAGCAAATAAAAATGAAACAAAGACATAATCGATATAGCGTAATTTCTATTTTGTTTTTTTCAATCTTGTGGATGATTTGAGTAGAAACTAACGATATTATGAAAAAAAGGAAGAATCTCACGTTTTTTTTTGGAAATATTCTTCCACAATACGGTTCATTCAGCCTACTTCGGCATTCGAGTTTCTTCTTTTTCTCGCTACGACATTCGTTTAATCATTTCTTATTCGCTATCGCTCTTCGAAATCTCAGAAACTAATAAAATTTCCATAAAATAATCAGCCAAAACGAGTATCTTCGATATATACGTTTTAAGTATTAATCGAAAGGATTTCGAAGTGTGTTACTATTATGGAAATTCTTCTAGGTCGACGAGTGGTATCGTGTGTACGTAGCGTCGGGGAATTCTACGTACTGGTACTAATATCTAGGCTGTCTGGAGCGTGGCCGTTCTTCCTCCATGGGTATCGAGGGCCATGACGAAAAAG